AAGATACCCAAGAGTTGCACATGTGTCTAATTTAACAACGTGTCGTTTCTTTGAACCATTCATCTGCCTACTTATTACTAGGTACAAGAGAGAGACAGAGGACTTGGAGGTCCATACTGAAGCTATCTCCTGAAAGCTTGTATTTAGATTCAGAACTTCTCTCTATCATATATATGTGTGAGTCAGGGAGGAGAGGCTGTTGTATGGAGGATATTCCGGGGGTCAGCGCCCCCGGGACTCAACCCATGACCAGGCTATTGAGCACTTTCGTGTCCTGGGACAATAATCACGCAGATGTAGGGCTAAAGGATGCTGTATCAGCAGTGTTCATCTCCTGGATAAAGGATGCTGTATCAGCAGTGTTCATCTGGATAGATAAAGGATGCTGTATCAGCAGTGCTCATCTCCTGGATAAAGGATGCTGTATCAGCAGTGTTCATCTCCTGGATAGATAAAGGATGCTGTATCAGCAGTGTTCATCTGGATAGATAAAGGATGCTATATCAGCAGTGTTCATCTGGATAGATAAAGGATGCTGTATCAGCAGTGTTCATCTCCTGGATAAAGGATGCTGTATCAGCAGTGTTCATCTCCTGGATAGATAAAAGATGCTGTATCAGCAGTGTTCATCTCCTGGATAGATAAAGGATGCTGTATCAGCAGTGCTCATCTGGATAGATAAAGGATGCTGTATCAGCAGTGTTCATCTCCTGGATAGATAAAGGATGCTGTATCAGCAGTGTTCATCTCCTGGATAGATAAAGGATGCTGTATCAGCAGTGCTCATCTCCTGGATAGATAAAGGATGCTGTATCAGCAGTGTTCATCTCCTGGACAGATAAAGGATGCTGTATCAGCAGTGTTCATCTGGATAGATAAAGGATGCTGTATCAGCAGTGTTCATCTCCTGGATAGATAAAGGATGCTGTATCAGCAGTGTTCATCTCCTGGACAGATAAAGGATGCTGTATCAGCAGTGTTCATCTCCTGGATAGATAAAGGATGCTGTATCAGCAGTGCTCATCTCCTGGATAGAAAAGGATGCTGTATCAGTAGTGTTCATCTCCTGGATAGATAAAGGATACTCTATCAGCAGTGCTCAAACAGAACTAGTGTCCCATAGCTGGGTTGGTGACTAATCCCCAGGTACCTACTTACTGTTAGGTGAACCGGGACAGTAAGTATAAGGAAACACATGAACCCCTTAAAAGGTGTTCTACTTCTCTGTGCACCTGACGGAGTGTCTTCAGGGACCTCGGCGACATTTCAGGGGTCACATTTTAGCGTGAACTGATGGAAGGTTCTTAATAACTAGGGAAGACGGGGTGTCTTCAGGGACCTCGGCGACATTTCAGAGGCACATTTTAGCATGAACTGATGGAAGGTTCTTAATAACTAGGGAAGACGGGGTGTCTTCAGGGACCTCGGCGACATTTCAGAGGCACATTTTAGCGTGAACTGATGGAAGGTTTTTAATAACTAGGGAAGACGGGGTGTCTTCAGGGACCTCGGCGACATTTCAGGGGTCACATTTTAGCGTGAACTGATGGAAGGTTCTTAATAACTAGGGAAGACGGGGTGTCTTCAGGGACCTCGGCGACATTTCAGAGGCACATTTTAGCGTGAACTGATGGAAGGTTCTTAATAACTAGGGAAGACGGGGTGTCTTCAGGGACCTCGGCGACATTTCAGGGGTCACATTTTAGCGTGAACTGATGGAAGGTTCTTAATAACTAGGGAAGACGGGGTGTCTTCAGGGACCTCGGCGACATTTCAGAGGCACATTTTAGCGTGAACTGATGGAAGGTTTTTAATAACTAGGGAAGACGGGGTGTCTTCAGGGACCTCGGCGACATTTCAGAGGCACATTTTAGCGTGAACTGATGGAAGGTTCTTAATAACTAGGGAAGACGGGGTGTCTTCAGGGACCTCGGCGACATTTCAGAGGCACATTTTAGCGTGAACTGATGGAAGGTTCTTAATAACTAGGGAAGACGGGGTGTCTTCAGGGACCTCGGCGACATTTCAGAGGCACATTTTAGCGTGAACTGATGGAAGGTTCTTAATAACTAGGGAAGACGAGGTGTCTTCAGGGACCTCGGCGACATTTCAGGGGTCACATTTTAGCGTGAACTGATGGAAGGTTCTTAATAACTAGGGAAGACGGGGTGTCTTCAGGGACCTCGGCGACATTTCAGGGGTCACATTTTAGCGTGAACTGATGGAAGGTTCTTAATAACTAGGGAAGACGGGGTGTCTTCAGGGACCTCGGCGACATTTCAGGGGTCACATTTTAACGTGAACTGATGGAAGGTTCTTAATAACTAGGGAAGACGGGGTGTCTTCAGGGACCTCGGCGACATTTCAGAGGCACATTTTAGCGTGAACTGATGGAAGGTTCTTAATAACTAGGGAAGACGGGGTGTCTTCAGGGACCTCGGCGACATTTCAGAGGCACATTTTAGCGTGAACTGATGGAAGGTTCTTAATAACTAGGGAAGACGGGGTGTCTTCAGGGACCTCGGCGACATTTCAGGGGTCACATTTTAACGTGAACTGATGGAAGGTTCTTAATAACTAGGGAAGACGGGGTGTCTTCAGGGACCTCGGCGACATTTCAGAGGCACGTTTTAACGTGAACTGATGGAAGGTTCTTAATAACTAGGGAAGACGGGGTGTCTTCAGGGACCTCGGCGACATTTCAGAGGCACATTTTAACGTGAACTGATGGAAGGTTCTTAATAACTAGGGAAGACGGGGTGTCTTCAGGGACCTCGGCGACATTTCAGAGGCACATTTTAGCGTGAACTGATGGAAGGTTCTTAATAACTAGGGAAGACGGGGTGTCTTCAGGGACCTCGGCGACATTTCAGAGGCACATTTTAGCGTGAACTGATGGAAGGTTCTTAATAACTAGGGAAGACGGGGTGTCTTCAGGGACCTCGGCGACATTTCAGAGGCACATTTTAGCGTGAACTGATGGAAGGTTCTTAATAACTAGGGAAGACGGGGTGTCTTCAGGGACCTCGGCGATATTTCAGAGGCACATTTTAGCGTGAACTGATGGAAGGTTTTTAATAACTAGGGAAGACGGGGTGTCTTCAGGGACCTCGGCGACATTTCAGAGGCACGTTTTAACGTGAACTGATGGAAGGTTCTTAATAACTAGGGAAGACGGGGTGTCTTCAGGGACCTCGGCGACATTTCAGAGGCACATTTTAACGTGAACTGATGGAAGGTTCTTAATAACTAGGGAAGATGGGGTGTCTTCAGGGACCTCGGCGACATTTCAGAGGCACATTTTAACGTGAACTGATGGAAGGTTCTTAATAACTAGGGAAGACGGGGTGTCTTCAGGGACCTCGGCGACATTTCAGAGGCACATTTTAGCGTGAAACTGATGGAAGGTTCTTAATAACTAGGGAAGACGGGGTGTCTTCAGGGACCTCGGCGACATTTCAGAGGCACATTTTAACGTGAACTGATGGAAGGTTCTTAATAACTAGGGAAGACGGGGTGTCTTCAGGGACCTCGGCGACATTTCAGAGGCACGTTTTAACGTGAACTGATGGAAGGTTCTTAATAACTAGGGAAGACGGGGTGTCTTCAGGGACCTCGGCGACATTTCAGAGGCACGTTTTAACGTGAACTGATGGAAGGTTCTTAATAACTAGGGAAGACGGGGTGTCTTCAGGGACCTCGGCGACATTTCAGAGGCACGTTTTAACGTGAACTGATGGAAGGTTCTTAATAACTAGGGAAGACGGGGTGTCTTCAGGGACCTCGGCGACATTTCAGAGGCACGTTTTAACGTGAACTGATGGAAGGTTCTTAATAACTAGGGAAGACGGGGTGTCTTCAGGGACCTCGGCGACATTTCAGAGGCACGTTTTAACGTGAACTGATCTAACGTTTTTAATAACGAGGGAAGTTCTGACATTTTTAGGATTTTTGTTTTGCGTTTTTTTTTTTTTTTTTTATTATGTAAGCAAATTGTTTTTTGTGATTTTTTATTATATACATCAAACAGTTTTGTGTTTTCCCCTGTTCCCTTCGCACGTGTTCTGAGTGGCAGAACACGTGTTCTGAGTGGTATAACACGTGTTCTGAGTGGTATAACACGTGTTCTGAGTGGTATAACACGTGTTCTGAGTGGTATAACACGTGTTCTGAGTGGTTACTTTGAAACACGTGTTTGAGTGGTATAACACGTGTTTTGAGTGGTATAACACGTGTTTTGAGTGGTATAACACGTGTTTTGAGTGGTATAACACGTGTTTTGAGTGGTATAACACGTGTTTTGAGTGGTATAAACACGTGTTTTGAGTGGTATAACACGTGTTTTGAGTGGTATAACACGTGTTTTGAGTGGTATAACACGTGTTTTGAGTGGTATAACACGTGTTTTGAGTGGTATAACACGTGTTTTGAGTGGTATAACACGTGTTTTGAGTGGTATAACACGTGTTTTGAGTGGTATAACACGTGTTTTGAGTGGTATAACACGTGTTCTGAGTGGTATAACACGTGTTCTGAGTGGTATAACACGTGTTCTGAGTGACAGAACACGTGTTCTGAGTGACAGAACACGTGTTCTGAGTGACAGAACACGTGTTCTGAGTGACAGAACACGTGTTCTGAGTGACAGAACACGTGTTCTGAGTGACAGAACACGTGTTCTGAGTGACAGAACACGTGTTCTGAGTGACAGAACACGTGTTCTGAGTGACAGAACACGTGTTCTGAGTGACAGAACACGTGTTTTGAGTGGCAGAACACGTGTTTTGAGTGGCAGAACACGTGTTTTGAGTGGCAGAACACGTGTTTTGAGTGGCAGAACACGTGTTTTGAGTGACAGAACACGTGTCTTGAGTGACAGAACACGTGTTTTGAGTGACAGAACACGTGTTCTGAGTGACAGAACACGTGTCTTGAGTGACAGAACACGTGTCTTTGATAAAGGAGGATTAAGTCAGGTGATAATTTAGGTGAGTACTTACCCGTGTGTGAAGCAGGTGACGCCACGGCCAGGTGAGTCGCCTAGGTGAGTAGCTTAGACGAGTCGGCTATGTGAGTCAGCAGGTAATTAGGTGAGGTGAGGCAGAGGAGGCTGGGCTGGAGGGTATGATGATGCCCAGTGACCTGGCCTCTCCCTGCTACACCCTCTCTAAGTGTTGATCGTCCACACTGGCTTCACAGAGTCGTAGTTCCTTGTAATGTTAAGTTTAATATTAGGAGAGCTAACGTGAGGAAGGGGCAATCCGGTCTGAAATTCTAAGCAATCGTTACTGTTTTAGCTAATGTTGTAAGGGGGTGGTCACTGTGGTGGGGATTTTTCCTAGTGTAAATGGGCGTTCGTGGTGGTGCTGTGTGTTCGTAGAGTGTGTGTGTGTGTGTGTGTGTGTGTGTGTGTGTGTGTGGTGTGTGTGACAGGGGGGGAGAGGGAGGGAGCTGTGTCAGCATGTGCTGCCTTCAGTGAAACATTTCCTGTCACTGTCGAGGCTTGAAATGTCCCTCAGTCACTGGCTGTGAGTGACGGCACGCCACTCACCAGCACCCCATCGACACTAACTGGCCTCTCTGCAACTTCTGAATCGCCAGTGCCAGGCACTGTCCCGACGGGAACACAAGTAGCTCCTCACTATCACTAGGTCACGCACTACAACTAGTAAGATGCAAACAACAGCGTCTAGTAACACAGTATAAAGGTCAACACTAGTTGGACGTCAAGGCCAACCAACTAGTCGACTCATTAAGATAATTTTATATATATATTTTTTTTTTGCTTGCTTTCAACATCACGTCTGAGACTGTAGCTTCCTTGTGTCTGAGTGTGATGTTAACTGTTCACACTGTCATTAACAGCACCATGTCTTAAACTGTCACCTCCTTGACGGAGGAAGACAAGAAAACTTTTCTGATCAACTCTCTCTTTCTTTCTCTCTCTCTCTCTCTCTCTCTCCTTCAAAATTTCCACGTTACAAACGTCTTGTATTCCTCCGTTCTTTCAGCCTTGGAGATAACTGTATGCCTTAACTACAGCAGCAGTACATGACTGTAATATCAGTTTCGACACCACAGGATATAGCTTACTGGTGTAAAAATCCCCATTGCTTTTTTTCCTGGTCACGTGAAACGTCATCCACAGTTATCCTATGAGAGGAGTGACCCGGGTGTGTGTTGTTGTTGTTGTGGTGGGTCAGGCAGGTGTGTCGTAGAGATGGTGTGCTTGTAGGCAGAGGTGCCACGCTAGGCAACTCTCAGAGGGTGATAGTGGCACTAGTGTACATGAGACACCAACTGCTGGCCACTGCCAGGCGGACTGTGGCACTCCTCTCTCTGCTGGAGCTGGTCGACCTGTCCTGTTGGGTGCCACACACACTGGGTGCCACACACTGGGTGCCACACATACGCTGGGTGCCACAAGCGTAGACGATAGTTACACCTGCGCTCCACCCCGACCTCCGCTGTCTTGTATGTCTTCCATTCTGCCTATAACTGCGTGCCACACCTGCCTCCCCGTGACACCACCACACCTGCCCCTTGACACCACATCTGCCTCGTGACACCACACCTGCTCAACTCACACCACACCTACACCACACCATCTTCGCTACACAATACGGTTCACTACAGGCCCATACATTAGCACAACATCCACAACACAAACACAACCACAGGCAAACAATATATACTCAGCGCGCTAAGCCCACCAGGGCCATTCAACACGAGGAATAGTGGAGGCTCGATCCTATGTCCGCTGAACGCAGTCTTCATGGTTCAGTGACTAACATCTCTGGTTTCAGACTGTCTTGCCGCGGGTTCGAATCTCATCCACTCCTTAGAGAACAGACATAGATGAATATTATGTGGTAAACAAGGAGAAATATGGAATGTGGAGAGAGGAGAGGAAGGAAGGGGAGTAAAGAGGATAAAGAGGGATAAATAGAGATAACTAAAGGCGAGGTGAGGGGTTATCAGTTATCCCGGTAGAGGGATACCTCTTTCTCGGGTATCTTTCGTATTGTAAGATACCCGATAGTAGTGGAATGAAGATGATGTAATTAGTAGTCAGTCCCTCAGGCTGAGGGACTGACCACCTCATATCTCCAAAGTTGATGGACTGATTGCATCATTTCACTACTACATCTGCTGCCTCTGACTGTAGAAGCCTACTGTGTAGGCGAAACCTTTCGAAAATAAAGATGAAAAAGTGTTGCACGTTTCTATATTGTTTGTAAGGGCTTGACACAGCTTCTGGAGAGCGAAACGTTGTTACAAAAAAAGGTCACAGTCGTTGCAATTGTGGCCTTCTTACCTAACGTAAATTATCAAGTTTAGATATTGCAACTGCAATATCTGCAAATATCTGCAAAACACCTCTTCAGGTAGGCTTCAAACTTTCAGGTTGGGAGGACTGTGCTTGAAGAAAGATGTTCACTAATGTTTGGCGGTGAGACTAAGCCGGAATTAAAGTAAGCCAGGCATGAAGTAAGTCAGGATTAAAATAAGCCTGGATGAGAGTAAGCCAGGATTAAAATAAGCCTGGATGAAAGTCAGGATTAAAATAAGCCTGGATGAAAGTCAGGATTAAAATAAGCCTGGATGGGAGTAAGCCAGGAGAGTAGCAGGGCAGAAAGAGCCAGCCTCAGAGTCCAGCATAATACTTAATACGAGGCTTTAAACCCGTGTGGGTCATTCAGCGCAGGGAGCGTCGCCCCCTCCATCCTGCCAGCAGTTAACACACAAACATACACACAGACAGACAGGCTTAGCAGGGTACTAGCCACAGAGTAGCAAAAACTTTTTCCTCCCCTCATTCCCTCCCCTCCTCCCCACACTAATAATCAACAAGGTCACAAGCAGATGGTGTACCCCATCAGAGTGTTCAGGGCTGGGAAGACTGGAGTGGTGGTGGTTCGTGAGTGGTGGTGGTTCGTGAGTGGTGGTGGTTCGTGAGTGGTGGTGGTTCGTGAGTGGTGATGCAGCCGTCACTACCACCATTACCAAGACTTGAACTTGCTTGTTGGTGTATCGAGTCTGGAGAAATTTTCATCAACTAACGGGTGAGGGGACGTCGACCCTCCTCTCAGGCGGGCGGCAATCCCTCTGGAGGGAGCGAAGGCCCCTCTCTACTTTCCCACACTGGAGAGCAAGAGTGAGCATGAGAGGCGTCATGTCCTGTTCTTTGTGCACTATCAGAGATGAGGTAAACTAACATGTCTTACAGTCCTGCACTCAGCAGTTTTAAACTGCAGCATACCATAAAAACCAATTAATCTTAACACATGTTTCTGACCTGGAAAATTAGACACCTTCTAATGAGCTTGTAGATCAAGAGCAGATAAGACCAACACCCAATATTCACACATGTTCAGCAGAATCTACACTCTTACGGGAGTCGCTGCAAGATTTTACAAACGTGTGTTTGTCTGAGGAAATTGCTATTTTCCAAGACCAGGAAAAACTCAAAACAATTTGCTACTAAACTAATATTTCTTGGAGTATTAGTCTTCTTAGCCGGCCTTAGACTCAAGGAATCCACTCCTTTCGATTCTTCCGAGTCACCAGAGTCGGCGTCTATACCTGTATACATCGTGTCAGCAGATAACTGTCCATAAAAGAAGGGCAAAGGTTGCAACAGGCGGGTTGCAGTTTAATTTCAGCCAGTGAACATGTAACGAAGTGACCAGGGTATACCCAGCTGGGCCACACCATGGTGAACGCAGAAACATCCATAGCTATACTCGTGTACATTTGAATCCCGAGTTGTACACTGATAATCTCCAGGAAGACTGAAGACACTCTTCCTGCCATGAATAATTACAGACTATTAACGAGCGACAATTGTCAGGAGACATGTGCCAAGACAGGAGTAAGGACTCCACGATGTCACTATACATCTCAAGCCATCAGTAGCGTCTCTTTGATGTTATAACGTCACTGGCTTTCATTACAATGAGCGAGGTGAGTCTGTTTTACTGTACATCCTCCTAATTCCACTACAGTGCCTAGGGTCGATGTTAGTGAATAGGACTAACCATTCAAGGCCATGATGGCGGGCCAAGCCCAAAACACAGGTAAGGATCGCCCACGACTTCCAGGTGATATACCTGACATATTGATAATATATGTCAGCAGGGCATGTATTAACCCTAGTTATAATCACCTTTCAGCCCTGATGGGTACTAGGACAGCAAAAATTGAAGGAAAACCCCGGTAGAGACTGTGGGTATTTTGAACTGTTATTAACAAAATTGAGTATCTCACCACACAGTGGTCCCTTTTTATATTAATTATTATACTCATCTCACCCAAAATCCCACACATCAAGTTTGAAGTCTATCTACTACACAAGGGTCATTAAGGCTGCATATTAACTTACCTCATTTAAGGTGTGTCAGGAAACAGGACAAGTGTTTCCTGACGTGGATCTTAGTCATATGATCTGCAGCTGGAGCTTTAGGCCATCTGACCAAGGCCTTCCACAGGCTTACCCCTCCAACCCTTTAAATTATTATAACCCTCTTCTCGATTCGTCAGTACTCTCCCGGCCTGAGTCTTTTCCAGATGGTGACCCGGCCTTGGCTCCCTATCTTGGGAGTGTCTGAAACCTATGTCTACCATGGGAGAAGTTACAAGTACCTCCTCATCTTCTGGAACCAATTGTCTCCAGGCCTAGCCTCATTCCTCGCCCTCACAGGGTTCATAGGGAGAAGCTAGGACTCTGGTCTGCCATCTTCCCCGCCCCAGGGATACTCATGGGAATGGCAGTCTTGTGAGCTGATAAGATAAGATAAGATTTCGTTCGGATTTTTAACCCCGGAGGGTTAGCCACCCAGGATAACCCAAGAAAGTCAATGCGTCATCGAGGACTGTCTAACTTATTTCCATTGGGGTCCTCAAATCTTGTCCCCCAGGATGCGACCCACGCCAGTCGACTAACACCCAGGTACCTAATTGCTGCTAGGTGAACAGGACAATAGGTGTAAGGAAATGTGTCGAAATGTTTCCACCCGCCGGGAATCGAACCCGGGCCCTCCGTGTGTGAAGCGGGAGCTTTAGCCACCAGGCCACCGAGCTGCAGGTGGTAGCAAGCTCTAGCTCTGACACCTTCCCCGCCCTAGGAGGACTCGTGGGAATAGTATCTTCTCATATGTCCTATATTACATCCCAAACTCTCAGTAACGTATAAGTCACCCACTGCTGACTTCCCGTTGCCAATTCTACATAAAAACTCTTTACAAAACTTGAAATAACAACAAAAAATGAAATAATCACCTTAGCCCAGACGCAGAGCTGTTATCATAATGAAATCCTAACAGTAATTATGCAGAAAATGCGGCAATCAGGGAGTTAAAACAGCAGTGGGTCCTGGAAATGACAATATTGCAGAGAGAAAAAAGAAAATAGAATTAATGGTTGAGTTTCCCCAAGAGTCGGAAGCTGTGTTAGACCAAGATGGCTGAGCCAGAGGGAAAGAACTTGAGTCAAAATTTTGTGAGTTTTAGCTGACGTCAAATAATTAGCCGTTTGTGAAACGTATAATTAAAATATTAAAAATAAACTACACTTTACTGACTTATCTTACTTTAAACCTACTTAACTTACTTAAAATATTTCCATAAAATCTGTGTACTCTGAGAATCAGTGCAAAAATTGTTACATTAATAACTGCACTGTAATTCTTGTGTCCATCGACACCATGCCTAATCCTTCTAGGGTAGGGTAGGTGCCTGAGCCCGAGCCTTTAGCTCATAAGACTGTCATTCCCATTTGCCCCCTTGGGGCGGGGATGGCAGACCAGAGAGGCCTAGCTTGTGGCTAGGCCTGGGGACAGTTGGTCCCAAAGATGAGGAGGTACTTGTGCCTCCTCCCATGGGAGACTTAGGTCTCAGACACTCCCTAAAGAGGGAGCCAAGGCCGGGCCACCACTTGGAAAAGGCCCGGGCCGGGAGCATACCGGCTAATCTTTAATAATAATAATAATAAATTCTTGTGTCTCGACATCGACACCATGCCTAACCCTTCTAGGGTAGGGTAGGTGCCTGAGCCCGAGCCTTTAGCTCATAAGACTGTCATTCCCATTAGCCCCCCTTGGGGCGGGGATGACAGACCAGAGAGGCCTAGCTTGTGGCTAGGCCTGGGGACAGTTGGTCCCAAAGATGAGGAGGTACTTGTGCCTCCTCCCATGGGAGACTTAGGTCTCAGACACTCCCTGAAGCGGGAGCCAAGGCCGGGCCACCACTTGGAAAAGGCCCGGGCTGGGAGAATACCGGTGAATCTTTAATAATAATCTTGTGCCTCGATCGACACCATGC